ATTAAGAAATTCCAAATTGGCAAGGTTTTGAATAGTGACATTGCATTAGCCTTGCTAATTTCAGTAATTCAAGCTGATAGTCTCTCTTTACAAGTGCTCTTGGTTGAAAGCAGCCCATCACCACAGAGCCATTCCCAGTTTGTTTCTCCACTAAGGTAAGCTGGGATTTTCTTTTTTTTAAGACAAGTGATCAAGGGAGATGGTAACCAGCACAGGACACCTTAGTCAGAGACTCTTTGGAAAGCAATTCTTGCTTTGCTTTCCTCAGCAAAAGCAGTTAGTCTTTACTTTTCTTTCTCTAACCAGGAATGAGAATATGAGACAGACAAGATTTGTCACCCCCTCAGCTCCTTGCATCTGACCCCTTTGATGATTTCTGTCTGGCTTCTTAATTGTGCTCCTTTCAATAATTGGGAAAGGCAAAGAAACCCTTCCAAGGTTTTCTTTTCATTTTTATCTTTAATTAGCAGATAATGCATGTTTATGGGATACAATGTGATGTTTTCCTGCATGGTTATCAGTAGAGTGATTAGATTTTTTTTTTAAATAATGGAAGCATATTTGCTTTTCGTTTTATAAGATGCGCAAAGAAACTGGCAGACAGGTAATAGCAAAAACAAACAAAACAATGAAGAGAAAGCTTCTTCTTAGAGGAGTCCACATTTAAAAACACAGTCTCCTGAATCTCTCAAGTAACTGGCATCATGCATGCTGGCAAAATGTACATAGGGCAATCTTCAGAGCTTCACTAGCACATAAAGTAGGCTGATGGCCGAGTGTTTGAAAGAGTTTAGGGTTTCATCCGAAGAACAGCTGCACCCTACTGCGCTTGTAGTCAGATACACCAAACACCAGACACCAACAAGCCAAGCACACCTTGGCAGTGGCCCCGAGTGCAGTGATAGCAAGAGCCTTGGATGACACAAGGCACATTGGCAACCCAGGCTTCTGCACATCCGGCCTAAAGTTATTGACTTAGCTTTCTTTTTAGTCAGTCAGTGACTAAGACTAAAGCACAAGAGCTTTACCTGGATGTTTCAGCTCATTAAGCAATAAAGTTTTAAAACACAGGGAAATAGCAAAAGAGGAGAGAGGAGCATGTGAAAGCATGAGTAGTCTTATGTTGCAGAATGTTTCCCAAGAAACATTGAGAACTAGACCATGTAAGTAACATCTTGCTGAGTATGGTGGTGAACACTGAGGAAGTTGAGGCAGGAGGATCAGTCCAGCCTGGGCTACGTATCCAGAGACACCGTCTCAAAGCACTAGTGCCAAAAAAAAAAAGCACAATTATATGCTCGTTAAGGCTTCCAAATACTTCCATAGTTTCTGTCATTTTTCACTTGCAAAGACAGTTTACAAGCAGAGCAGTATGGGTCACCAGCGAGTCTTCCCCAGGTTTTTCTTCTTACACCCTCTATGTGCTCTGCTCTTGCTTATATTTCCGAGGCTCTTTGTTCGTGCCTCTCATGTGGCACTTAGCACATTCTAACTCAGAGGACAAGTTATTTTGGGACTCAAATCATCTGCCTCACAAGATAGAGAATTCCAGGAGCCAAGATTGAGTTTACTTCTACCAGAGCACCTGACACAATGCCTAGCAAATGGCAAGGGCCTGGTTCCTTCCCACTGCTGCTTCATCTCACACCTGCTCAAGGACAGCCTGGGTTACATATCCAGAGCCTCTGGCTCAAGGTACTAGTGCCTAAACTGAATCATGTGTATCTCCACCTCCTGCTAGATCGAGAGAATAGACTTGAGAATACACTCCATAGCTTCTCCAGTGGCCTTAGAGCCTGTCTGCTACCTAGTACATTAATGAGTGTTCCTACAACTCCAGAAATGTTTAACATGTTAATTAAATATGCTTAACAGAACACTCCTGTTCATCTATACCTGCTACACCCCTCATTTATCCACTTCAAGACATGGCAAATAATCATACGTGTAAACACGTGTTTATATGAACTCAGGTAATGATAACAGAAATCACATTTACACTCCAGACATTTTCATCACTGTTCTCCCTGTAAAAAAGAAGTGGACAGGGTTTGAAATATTTTTTAGGGAGAGAAGCTGCAAGAGGAAGGAGAAAAAGCAATAAGGTAAAGAAGGCAAGTTCAGAAAGATTGGTAGGTGAAGAATTCTACCTGTCCATTTTGAGGGCTCTGAACCCTCTGTGTTACCTGCCTGACTAGGGCACAAGAAAGATGAAACCAAAAAAAGAAAGAAAGAGAGAGAGAAAAAAAGGAAGAAAGAAAAGAAAAAGAAGAACTAAATGGAAAGAGGGGCCTCTTAAACTTGGTCTTAACCTTAATAGTAAGGAAAAAAGACTTGAGGTTTACTTAACTTGTTGTTAGTCAAAGGGGGCCTTCAGATTTCTCCCCTGGGTGACCTAAACTGTAATCTGTCTCTATAGCCTTCTGTTAATACTTCTTACATTTGTAAGGAAACTATAGTAACTAGAGAGGCTCGATTTACTTCTTCTAATCTCTTGGGTAAAGAAATGAAAAAGACAACAAGAAATTGCTGTCCAACTGGAATTCTGCATGGCATAGGGAGAGTCAATTGGGATAAATCAATTGAAGAAAACAATCTTTTTTTTTAAGGGGCCTGCATCTTTAATCACCATAATCCCTTTGGTAAATTGCCTTTTCTGGTGGTATTGCATACCTAATTACAGCGTGCTCATTTTTATTTCCCCCTTACATATTGCTAGCTGTTTGTGTAGTTGTGGGTTTTCAAGCTGAGCAACAAACTAAGTACGAGCATTAAACACTTATCCCAGTGTCACCACTTTTGGAATTAAATCAAAGGTCACTGGACATACACAGACATACACATACACACACACACACACACACACACACACACACACACATACACACACACACATACATTACATTAGCACTTCTGAGGGAGACCCATTTTCTACCTTGATAGTGATTTAAATTCTCAACATCTTAAAGTTGTAAAGATAAAAGAGATACTGTATGTGGTTCCAACCAGTAGCCATGGAGGTAGTTTACATAGTAGGATTTGATCCACCAAACAATTTATTTAACCTAGAGACATGCTGGTGTGATTAATGAAAGCACTCTATTGTCTAGCCACGCTCAGTAATAGATGACTGTGACTCCCAGTTTATCTTCTACAACAATTTTGCACAGCCAGATTTTTCACATCTTGAAATTGCCATTTTTAAATGAATTCTTGCAGGGGTATTTTTGTTTGCTTGTTTGTTTGTTTGTTTGTTTGTTTGTTTGTTTGTTTGTTTTGGTTCTTTGAGAGGGACGAAGGCCTTACTATGTTGCCCAGGCTCCAAAGTCACAACCTTCATTCATGTCTGAATGTGGCAAGTAGTTAAGATTACAGGCATACACCATTATGTCTGACTCCAGATATTTTTTAAATATCTCTTGCACTGTGGTAATCTTATTATAAGATGATTTTCATCACAAATGCTTAAAATTGAAATGTTCCCTTGATATCATGCTCTACATTATCTTCTTCAGAAAAAAATAAAAAAGCATTAACCTCCCCAAAAGTCCTTTCTCCAACCAGTCAATACTGTCTTCTTCTCTGTTGTCCTGCAGCTTGACCATATTTGGCTGTCAATACTACATGCTAGGATGAAATAGATCCCATATATCACGTGCCAAAGGCATATATCAAAGGATATTCACTGAAGCAGTTTTTATATATGAGCCTTGGGAAATGGCTCATTATTATGTTCACTGTATGGAATTCCTTGCAAGGGTTCAAAAGAATGAGGTCATTCTACAAATATTAACACAGAGACTTGTAAGATGTTAGAATCTGAGTCCATATATGCATACAAAACACATTCACCAGTAATCATCACTGGGAAGTTGTCAGAGGAAAGGGTGTGAGATGAGAAGCATGAGTGTGCACGTGCATTTTGGTGTTTTGACTACATATATGTTGGTATTGTTTGAACCCTTAATTTCAAGGATGTATTTATGGAAATCCCATGTGGAGATTTTATGAAAAAAAATAAAAGAGGCAAAGAAATTGGCTCAATGGGTAAAGCACTCAGTGTACAATCATGAGTGAGGATCTGTGTCTCCAGAACCCACATAAAGCCAGCCTACGTAGTCTGTGTCTGTAAACCCAGTATCCCTCCGAAGTGATGAGAGGTAGAGACAGGAGAGTCCCAGGAAACACCCAGGTCAGCCATCGGGGTATGTACAGTGGCAAAACAATAGAAAGTAAAAACTGATTTCAAGATTGTTATTTGACTACCATCTATGTACCATAGCAAGTATGGGCCTGCCCTCCCACATATGAACATATATGCATTTATATGCACAAACATGTGCTTTAATCCCACACATAGCAAAATTAAAATAAAAAAATGAAGAGCTAAAAATACAATTACCCAATGACCCAGCTATAGCCTTTCTAGACATATACGCTAAAACATATAGACATATAGCCTACCACAGATATTCACACATCCATGTTTACTGCTGCTGTGTTCACAACAGCAAAGAAAGAGAACCAGCCTAGATGCTCAAAAATAGATGAATGGGTAAAAATGTAGTACATACATATGATGTTATTTTATTCAGTCACTGAGAAGAATAAAATTATGAAAACTTTAGGAAGATGGTTAGAACTGTAAAAACATTAAATTAAGTGATGGCTCAGAAAGATGAGTATCTCATTTTCTCTCTAATACATAGACCCTAGCTTATAAGTTTAGTTTGTGTGAGTTTTGTGAGAATGAGTGTGGATGTAGGTCATAATACTAGAAAGAGGGCCAGGAGAAGGGAAAAGGGGGTGGGTTTAAAGAAGGAAACTTGGGAGGTTAATAGAATACATGTAACATGAAAACAGAAAACTGGAGAAGGAAGGTACAAATAGGAAGGGAGTGCAGAAAATGAAAAGAGTGTCAAGGATCAATGAATCAAAATAAAGTATGCATGAAAATATCATAGAGAAACCTGTTAATTTGTCTCCTAATTTTTTTTTAGAAAAGTGTCTTTATAGAATTAGAAGTGAAACTATTTGTAGGAATGCAGGAGACTAATGACGTGAGGGTGGTCAGGAAAGGGGAAGGTAGTAGGATATGGGGGACAAAATCAAAGCACATTAGATACTTGCATAAGAAGTGCCTTATGGAATCCAGCATAAGAAAACAATACATATTCATGGGCTAATGCTGCAGCTTAGTTGATAGAGTGCTTGACTAACATTAACAAAGCCCTGGGTTCCATCTGCAGCAAACATAGGAAGAGTAGTAAGGGTGGAGGTAGGAGAATCAAGAGCTCAAGGTTGGGGCTGAAGATATGGCTGAATGGTTAAGAGCACTTGCTGCTCTGGCAGAGGACCCAGGTTTAATTCCCAGCACCCACAAGACGACTCATAATCTGTAATTCCAGTCTCAGAAAACCTAATGATCTCTTCTAGCCTCTGAGGGTACCAGGAACTGTGGACATACAGGCAGACAAAACACTGACATACATAAAGTCCAATAAAAATGTTAGAGGTCAAGATCATTCTCAAGGCTACACAGATAATTGATAACTCAAAACCAGTGTGGGCAACATAAAGCGCTGGGGGGAGACAGAGAGAGAGAGATAAAGACAGACAGAGACAGAGAGAGATACACAGAGTTTACATGTTGAGTAATTAGGTAGGTAACAATTAAATGAAAGGACTCCAGTGGTTTGGCGATAGATAAAATGATAGACTGCTACAACAGCTCAGTAGCAAATAATGGCAACGGAAAGGAAAGTATTCTCTATGTATCAAGAGTACAAACACTTAAAGGATGTAGTGATTAATTCAATGTGGAATATGAAAAGGGAGACTGATAGGTTTCTGGCCTGGGCTACTTGGTGATGACCAAAGACATTCACTGAAAGGGAAGGCAGGGGAAAGAGGAAGAGAGCAGTCAAGAGATGGACAATGTCTCCTTCCACTTCCAAGTCTGTGCTGCCTAACAGACATCCATCTGGGAACAACCAGTGAACTTAAAAATCTCCAGAAAGATGTCTGCGCTAAACCCAGATGTGGGAATCCTCTTTTAGAGATAAAAACCAATGAGCATATCCGGGAAGATGTGTAACATGAGAACAGTGAGAAGTGGAGGAATAGAAGATACGAAGATAAGAACAGAGCAGAGGAGAAAAAGTCCTGTAAAGGGATCTGAGAACGATCAGAGAGGTTGGAGAGGAACAAGGCAGAAGAAGTGTCAGGAAAGAGAGGCCATGCCACGTTTCAGAACAGGCAGAGGATGACGGTATTGAATGCTGCAAAGGGCTCAAGATGAAAAATTCAAGAGAATCCATTGAAGGATTAACTGTAACTGGTATGAGGGATTTACTTGGCAGATGAAGGTGTTCTACCATTGCCCTCTGACGACAGTTGCACACTTCAATAAACCCACTGAAGCCCACTGAACATTTGAAATTTACTCGAAATGGATGAAGTTTGTGGAATGAAATTTTTACCTTAAAATTGTTGATAATATAAACCAGAGAAAAAGAGAACACATTGAACTTTAGCTTGAGAAAACTCATATTTCCAAGGGGCATTTTCTAGTATGATCTCTTCTTAATTAGTGTGGGGAAAGCACCATGGAAGAAAGTCATAGGAGCATATGAGGTTTCTGGTGCCATATTCTGATCATCTTCCATTACACTATCCATATCAAGTTTATGTGTTTGATTTGCTTTTACCCAAGCCATAAATATTACCACCCTATTTTGGGTAGTTACTGATTGACTTCTGTGTCTATTTTTATTTATTTTCACCATATATTTCCAGAATTTTAGAGTGGCAGGCTACAAAGCCCTAATTTTTAGCTGGCTTATTTGTTGGAGACTTTTTTTTTTTAGATTGTAATTTTGCTCCTTTTCTGTCTTCTCTCCAATCTCTCACATACACCCCTTCTTGCCCTCTTTCAAATTCATGGCCTCCTTTTCTTTCTACATTTTGATGTGCTTTAACATGGATTCTTTATTGGCCCTGAAATAACTGAGGTTATTCCTCAAATGACTGTCACTCATTTTCTGGTACTTGTAGCAAGGTGCTTTGCTCTCAGCCATTTTTCTCAATTTTAATTAACAAATCACAAAATGTATTTGTCTGGCTGACAGACACTTTGATGTGTTCTGTAGTTAGGTAAAACAAAACAAAACAAAACAAAAAAACATAATGAAAAACATCGCTCCCTTTTTGCTTATTAAGAACCAAGACTGCCAATGGTCATATTTACTTAGTGTTCATTTCTTGCTATCTGCATCTTCTTCTAATTTGGGTGGACTAACTTCCTGCTGTTTTTTTTTTAATACTCCTCCTCAATGAGCTGTCACTCTTTATAGTACAATTTCCTTTTGTCCCCTTTATGTCTTTAGAGCTGTGGGTCCAGGCCAGTTGGTACCCTTTTGACCTTTCCCAGCCTCACTTTGCACTCACCTACTTTGTTCTAATACCCATAGAGCTATCTGTGTGCAGATCATCTGGCTTTTTATCATCAGTTTGCCTCCTTTCCATCAGTTCCTTCCAGGTTAGAGGTCCTTCCTAAGCATGGTCCTCAAATGACTTTTCTCCAGGTAATGCCTCTTCTTTTATTCCTGTGTTCTAAAGGATGGGTACCCTTACACAGCTGAGTTGAACACAGTGTCTACACATTGTTGGGAATAAAACGTTGTTCTTCTGGAATATTCAAAGAAAACAAGTCTTGAGTAAATTGTTCCATCATCTTTTGCACAGGAGTGCCTCCATACTATTACCCACATTGTACATTTCACATTACTTGATACGTGTTTTCATTACTTCTGATATTTGACTAGGCAAACTGACAGCTCACAGGATTCTTTCTCCCTGCCTTAAGCAAATTACCATTTGCTCCCCTAAAACTGTGTCTTGGCTGATAACTCTTTATCAGACCTAACATCCTTCTCTCCAAGCTAGCCACTGATTTCAAAAGATACTAGTCACTTTCTTTGAGAGAGATTGTTCTCTGAGCAGTGTTTGTGTCCTTGGGAAGTATGCAAAGGTCACTTTAACCTATTTACCTTCAGACTTCCTAATGTTGTGAGGCCTTTTAAGAACTGAATGAGATTCTAGAATCTCAGTGCTGGAAGCAGCTACTTCCCCCTTACCTCCCCAATTCTTCTCCATGTGTGAATTCCTTTGCCAACATCATACATAATGGCTGCCCACACTCTTGTGGACCACCTCCAGAGATCTGATTACCTAAGGCAAACCTATAAACCTTTCAGATTGTTCCAATTGTCAGAAAGCTCTCTGTTCCTTTTAATCCCAGTTTTCAGATTACCATCATGATTAGAAAGTTCTTAATCACTTTTACATCCAAATTCTTTCCCTCTTAGGAGAAAGGCGAGATCATGAACCAGCAGAAACTGAAATGGAATGAGAGTAGGGCAAGAAGATTCTAATCCAAAAAAGACAAGGGTGTGAGGGCAGGTGATTTGGGTGGAGCAATGTCACAGAAGTAGGTCTGTGGAGCTAGAGAGGCAAAAGACAGAAACTGAGATAAGAAGCAGACGTCGTACTGGGGATTAAACGTAGGACAATGGAAATACTGGTAGAAGATCAAGGAAATATTGGACCACCTTCCAGAAGAAACAGAACCTGTCTTAGACATTTACATCAAGTGAGGAAGAACAAAAACAGCATATTTGTTATTCAGATCCAAAAAAATGGGAATGTAGCTCAGTGGTAGAACTCTAACATAGCCTTCTTAAGTTCCTGGGTTCAATCCTGAGTACTCCAAGGGAAGGAGAGACACAAGGTAACTTCAGTTTCTCTAAAAAGCTATACCTGGGTGTGCTAGTTCACACCCGTAGTCCCAGCAGTCAAGAGAATGAGGCAGGTGAAGCAAAGCAAGTTCAAAGATGGCCCTAAGCTAAAGAGTGAGATTCTGTCTCAAAAACAAAAAGAAAAAAATTAAAAATTAAAATCTTTCCAATGATTCCAACCTTGCCTTTGCCCAAGGATATGTAAAAAGAACACTGTAGAGACAGGGGAGGGATGTTTGGTAGAGATAGCTATGATTAGACCAGAGAGTAAAAAATAATTGGATATGGGAAAGTTGTTTAGAGAGCAATGGAAAGAGAAAAAGAAGTAAATTGAGAAATTGGAAGAGGGGTGGTGAAAACACAACTTCCGGGTTAAGGTATTTGTACCCATTCTTGTGCCAGCATGCAATTGTATTTTACTAGAACTCATCCCATGGACCTCTGCAATGAGAAACGGTACTAGCAGGTGATACTGCAGGGACTGAAGTCCTGTGGCTTTGTATGATCACAGCTAAGCAGCGGAGTTCATTAGCAGGGCTGTACTTTGATGTTCCAGAGCCATGCATTGAGACTTCAATCACCACAGCCCCTACACTTGGGAATCAATGAAGTGTGGCCCAGGGTGTAGATCACCAGGCAGGGACAGAGGCCAAAGGTATGAGGACACAGTCTTCAAGGTTGCAAATGAGAAATGACTGGAACCTATTCACTAGAAAACCCGTTTCCTGCTCTGCGTGTCACACACAATGCTGGCATGTGTCAGCTGCTCACATAGTAAGGCATCAAGTTCCAGGCAACAAAAGCACATACGAAAATAATCTTTGTGGATTCCATCCACACTGAGCACAGTGAACTGATGCTATGGCTCATGCAACCTGGCTACTGCTTAGTAGTGTCTAGGAGTCTAAGAGCCAATGCTTTCAGTATTGTCATTTATTTTCAGGGGCTTCTTGCCATTGGCTCTGCATTTGTATTGTCTTCAGCATGGGTCAATGGTGACTCTTTCCCTTGAGCAAATCAGACTCATCAGTCCCTGAAGGATAGGCATCTTGCAAGTAGATTGTTGCTTAACTGCATGCTGTCAATAGGCTAGGAATAGGTGTCCATTTGGGCATTTGTTTATCCAAGTAACAAGCATGTGTCTAAGTTCTATATTAATCAAATCCTGTGTGGGAGCTATGCACAAAATAAAAACCATTTCTAACTTCACCAGAGGCAGCCCGGTTGAGAAGGAGACCCTGGAAATGACTAATTCTAGTATGACGCAAACGGCAGTTTGTGCTATAA